GCCGAGGCAGCCGCCGCCGCCTCTGCTGCCGAGTAAGGTCCCCCCTTCCCCCGCCGCGACCCAGCGTGCTCATAGGCCCGTTTGTTCCCCGCGGCCCGGTCCGAGAACCGCTAGCGGGAGCCGGGAGGTCCTGCGCTGCCCGTGCTTGACTAAAGCTGTGTCAGAAGTCACGTCCTGCCTGTGGGAAGGGGCTGCTCTCCCGTAGCGCTACGTCTTGCTTTGTTTTTCTTTTTTTTAATAAGTGCTTAAAGATGAATTCTAAGACCGCCAAAGAGAGAATTATTGGCAAGTGGGGCTTAAAGTCGGGTAGCTCCAGGCCTGAGAATGATGTCGTGAAGTATAAGCAGGAGAACGCGGCCCTGAGAAAAGCGATGGAGGAAGCTGTGAAAGGGAAAAGCAAAATGACTGATCCGGAAAGGAGCGGGCTCCTAGAGGTGAGCTGCGTGTGTGGACTCAAGCTAACGTTTGTGATGTCCTAATTGTGCACGGTTAACGTGAGTCCGAGCATGTCTGACTTCGTAAGCAAGATGCCAATCTTTCCTCTTGAAACTTACTTTGATTTCACTACTGTTTTAGTTTGATGTTTTTGTTCTCAAATATTTTTAATAATGTCTGAACTAATTGAATTACAGTCATCTGATAAAGCTGTTAAATACAAAGACTTGAGGCTAGAGATGCCAATTAGTCCATTAAGACCTGTCCTCGCATGCCCAGCTGTTTGGAATAGTTGGTCCCAGAGAATTATTTTGAGCACTTTCTGCACAGAACACCGTGTTTGCAGGCAGTTGCCTAAGTACACACCAAAAAGTGCTGAGTATTTGCTGGAACTATACTCTTAAGCTCCCACTCAGCTATAAGTAAATAAAACTGTAATCGGTTCACCATTACAGTTTAATAGTTCTTCCATTACAACCAAAGAGCACAAACTAAGACACTGTAATTGCAGTCCATTCAATGTAAACCTATGGTTGCAGAGAAAGGACTTCCAGACTTAGTATGTGACCAAGTCACACACTGTGAGGCTTCCCGGAAGGCCTGGGAAACTTCACATGGATTCTTTCAAAGGATACAACTAATGAAGACTAGGAACACCAATGTTTCTAGGCTACTTCTTTTGTTAATAAGGCTTTTCATGTGTCTGTGCTAACCCAAGTACCAGCTGTGGCTAGACAGCTCATTTACAGTTGTTGCTAAATTTGTTAGCATATTTGCTGTGTCTGGTAGAGTTTGCTGCTTGCTCAGTGTTTATTACTTAATATTGGGTTCCTAGTTTACAGGTGGAAAATCACTGGCATGTTTAGATATACTAGGTACTATTTGGTGTCAATATTTTAATTCTAGTGAGCACTATCTGGTCTTCAACCACTCTCTAAAATTTAATTTCTTTCAGTTTCTCTGTCATCTTCTAGTGACTTGATATCAACATGTAGGATTTCAACATCAACCTTTCTCATGGAAAATGAAATGGTATCATACCTTGGGGCTCTATGTAAGCTTCTGTTATCTCAAATGCAGTATTAATGCTATGTAATAATTAACTGTGCTGGAGGCCTACTGAAAAGAGAGTGCCTGTTGAAAATATCTACTAATGCACATTTTGAAACTAAAAGGCCAGATAATTTGGAAAACGGAATCCTCCTCCTGAATGCTTTATTACAACTCTTTTTGGTAACTTTGCTTACTGTCATTTAGTTTGCAAGAAGGCTCTGCTGCTTCTCAAAAGCCACTAAATATGCTAACTAACACTAAGAAATATATCACCAATCTCTCCACTGGAAGTGTCCAAGAGTACTGCTTGTGTTCATCTATTGTAATTATCTGTATTCATATATAAAACTGAGTACCTACTAAGTCTGTGGAATTTGGTTCTTTGCATTCTTTCCTTGTTTCATCTACTTCAGTGTTCTTACTATCACTTGACATATTTGAGATGATCACTGTAGTATTGTCTTGAGTAAAAAGTAATATTCTTAGCTAATTAAAGACTAAGAGAACCTTTAAAGGGAGTATCTTCTCAAACTGTGAACTTGCTAATGCATTTGTTGCATAGACTGACACTTATTCATTTGTGTCACTTTTTATTCTGTTTCATTTAGAAAATACTTTCCCTTGAAAAAGAAAAAGAAAAACATAACCATCTTCTTGGAGAGAAGGACAAAGAAATTCAAAACCTCAAAGACAAGCTTAGATCCAAAAACACAAATAGTGAAGTCTTGTTACAAAGTCAACTAGAGGAAAAAACAAAGGAAGCAGAAAGGAGAGAACAGTTACTTCGTTCTCTATCAGAAGAAATGAACCAGTTAAAATATAATTTATCCACTGTTACTGCAAAATGTTCTGAGCTTGAAAACAGAGCTGGTACTTCTCAAGCATCCCAGGTAAGCACTGAAGAAACATTGTAATTGCACCTGCTAAGCACTGATATCAGTTATAAAATGGGATGGATTGTTAATCTTCTTACAGTTAACTGCATGCTGCAATAGTCTTATATGAAGACAGATGATGTCCAGATTGAATACTAAATGAAGAACAGTCAGTGAGCAGAACTTCAGGCAGCGCAGCTGGGGAGGGAATTCTCTAATGCTGTACTGCATGGTCCCTTATTCAAGCTCACATGCAGGTGGTGTGACTAGTGGTACTATGTTTAATGATCTACTGTTGCTTAAGCAGATATTATGCCCTTCTTGAGTTTGCATGATCAGTGATTAAACAGACTGAGAAGGCAGCAGTAAGAGACACAGGAAATTAATACAGATAAACTAAGCTCCTCACCTAATTCAGCTTCAGTCATGAGCTAATCAGTGATGCCAAGATTGGAGGCAGCTTGGGCTGCAGTGATCGTGCACTGGTGGAGCTCATAGATCTGAAGGATAAGACTAAAGTTGGGATGCTGAATTTTGGGAAAGCAAACTTCCAGCTGTTCAAGGATTTAGTCAATAGGACCTCCTGGGAAACTGCCCTCAGGGACAGGGGAGCAGTACAGAGCTGGCAGAGCTTTAAGGACACTTTCCATAGAATGCAAGAGGTCTTGATCCCCCAGGTGTAAGAACTTGATCCCCTGGTGTAAGAAATCAGGAAAGGAAGGCAAGAGACTGGCATGGCTAAGTTGAGACCTGGTCAAACTAAAGGGCAAGCAGGAAATGCACAGGCAGTGGAAATAAGGACAGGTATCCTGGGAAGAGTATTGGGAGGTTGCCTGGTTGTGTAGGGATGGGGTCAGGAAGGCCAAGGCATGGCTGGAGCTGAACTTTTCAAGGGATGCAAAGAATAAGGGCTTCTATAAGTATGTCAGCCAGAAAAGGAAGGTCAAAGAAAGCATAACTTGATAAACAAGAGTGACAAACTGGTAACAATAGACAAGGAGAAGGGTGAGGTACTCAACAACTTTTTTGCCTCAGTCTTTGGCAACCTCTATTCCCACACCTCTTGAGTGGATGGACTGCAATATGGGGACTGGGGGACCAAAGTCCTTCCCACTGTAAGAGAAGATCAGGCTCATGACCACCTGAGGAACCTGAACATAAGTTATTGGGACCTGATGAGATGCATTCCAGAGTCCTGAGTGAATTGGCTGATGTAGTTGCCAAGCCACTCTCCATGATACTTGAAAAGTCATGGCAGTCAGGTGGAGTCCCTTATGACTGGAAAAAGGGAAACATTGCACCCATTTTTAAAAAGGGTAGAAAGGAGGACCCTGGCAACTTACTGACCTGTCAGCCTCACCTCTGTACCTGGGAAGATTATGGAACAGATCCTCCTAGAAGCTATGCTAAGGCATGTGGAGGACAGGAAGGTGATTAGAGACAGCCAACATGATGTCACCAAGGCAAAATTCTGCCTGACCAACATATAGTGGCTTTCTGTGATGGAGTGACTACATCAGTGGACAAGGGAAGAGCTACTGATGTCATCTATCTGTACTTTTGTAAGGCCTTCAATGCAGTCCCCCACAACCTCCTTCTCTCTAAACTGGAGAGATACAGATTTGATGGATGGACTGTTTGGTGGATGAGGAATTGATTGGATGGTCACATCCAGAGGGGAGTGGGCAGCGGCTCAATGTCCACATCGGAGATCAGTGACAACTGGTGTCCCTCAGGGGTCCATATTGGGACTAGTACTGTTTAACATCTTCATCAATGACACAGTGGGATTGAGTGCGCCATCAGCAAATTTGCAGATACCAAGCTGAGTGGTGTAGTTGGCATGCCTGAGGGATGGGATGCCATCCAGAAGGATCTGGCCCAGCCCATAAGTGGGCCCAATCCCATAAATGGGCCCATGTGAACCTCATGAGGTGCAACAAGGCCAAGTGCAAGTCTAGCACCTGGGTCAGGGCAACCCCAGATATCAATACAGGCTGGGGGACAAAGGGATTGAGAGCAGCCCTGAGGAGAAGGACTTGGGGGTACTGGTGGATGAAGAACTGGACGCAACCTGGCAATGTGCACTTGCAACCCAGAAAGCCAACTGTATCCTGGGCTGCATCAGAAGTAGTGTGGCCAGCAGGTCAAAGGAGTTGATTCTGCCTCTCTGTTCTGGTGAGACCCCACCTGGAGTACTGCATCTGCCTCTGGGGCTTCCTCAGCACAGGAAAGACATGGACCTGTTGGAGTGGGTCCAGAGGAGGACCACAGAAATGATCAGGGAGAGGGAACACCTGTGAAGACAGGCTGAAAGAGCTGGGATTATTTGGGAGAAGCAAAGACTTCAGGGAAACACTGCAGCCTTCCCTGTTGCAATAAGACAAGGGATAATGGTTTTAAACTAAAAGAGGGTAGATTTAGACTATATGTAAGGAAGAAATTGTTCACAATGAGGGTGGTGAAATACTGGAACAGGGTGCCCAGGGAGGTGGTAGATGTCCCATCCCTGGAAACATTCCAGGTCAGGCTGGATGGGGCTTGGAGCAACCTGCTGTAGTTGAAGATGTCCCTGCTTGTTGCAGGAGGGTTGGACTAGATGACCTTTAAAGGTCCCTTCCAATGCAAACTATTCTATGATTCTACAAGACTATCTTTCTCCTCCCTACTCTTATGAATCCTCAGTTGCTTCTTAGTGTTAAAATTAGTTTCCTGTACTCATCACCATGTGTGATGCTACGTATACTTCAATGGGATGGAAAATAGGACAGGATTAATGAGTTGCTTCTCATTAAAATGGGTAATAGGTATGGTGCCAGGTACTTGGCAGCTTTTACAAGTGCATTTACTTTTGTACAGTTTTTCTACCCTTGCCTGTTCTAATGTTCCATGGAAAAATGCAGTAGTATCTCAATAAGGGGTACAGGGAAGTTGTGCCTGTAAGGTTTTTTTCTCTAGCTTTTGACCTGCAGATGGTGCTGGTTCCCCATGCTATACAGGGATATTGAGTAATTTCTAGAAATGCAGCTGTAGCCAAATACATAGCAAAATATCTTAATCTACTATTTTTCAGTGATAATACATATGTGTCACTTATAATAATGCAGTATCTTGGGAAATACCACTTTAAATGTAATGTATTTGTTTTCAATTTCAAGAGACTCCGAACTTTGTTAGAGAATTTAAAATGTATTTTAATTCAACATATTTCCATTATATTTTTGTCAATGAACTACCAAAATATCTCTTAGTTTAAAATCGGAATTTTGATTTTTTTACTGATTTATCAACAAAGGGCAACAAAATTCTACTGATGTTTTGACTGGATGTCTTGGAAGACTTGAAAACAGATCTAGCAATGCTGCTTGAACCTGCTAGGTGGCATATGAGCAGCAGGTATACTCTGAAATGGAAACAACAGTTGTATGACACAATTTTGAGAAAGTTCTGAGACAGTTCTAATATTTATAGAAATAGGAATCTGAGCAGTTGTAGTGTCTGTAAATCCTATTTTTATTAGGAAGTGCTAAAGCTCAATTGTATTCAAAGATCTGCATTTTTTTCAGCTATAAAGCTTGTTCTAAGTCATGTTCCAAAAAAACACAGGAAAACTTTGGAAAAATGTAGCTTGGATTTCGGTAGTAGTCTACACTTTTACTTCTTTAAAGTTCATTCTGACTTATATCCACACAATTTCAAAAAGCTTTCTATTATGCAGAGAATAAATGTCAGATGATGGAAGAAGTTTAACTGCTGTTTAGTTCTAGATGGGTCTAAAGAACTGTCTGACTTGTACTGTAGGCACTCTACTGTGGCTCAGGTCTCAGAAAACCACTCAGTATGTCCTTTTGGTTCCAGACAGGCTTGCATGCTTTCCCAGATATCTGTAATTCTTCTGTTATCCTAATGAAGTTGTCAAGGTCTCTAGCTTGCCTCAACAGCTCCTAAGGTCTAGCTTATTGTCAAATGTATGAGGATACAAAAATAGGACAAATGCTTACCTTTTTTGTGTATTTAAGTAATTCCATAAATATCTTCATTTTTCAGAGGGTCTCCTGCACCCTTCAGGTCTTCCAAGATAGCAGTTCAGCAGAAGATATGTGATATTCTTAAGAAATGTTTTACTGTAACTAGAGTTGCAGAGTTACAGAATAAATTAAATGTAAATCTTTGTCCTATATCTTCCAGGAGATTTTATTTTAAATCTGTGAAATGGTTTTCTACATAACTTAGATCCTTTTAAAAAAGAAAGACTAAAGATCTTTAAACACAAAAGGCACATGTATGCATCTGTGTTCCACTTTTAAAATATCCTTATGCTATCTGAGATTAGTATTTATACAGGACTAGCTTTACTGTTTCAGCCATCTCTTTTAAAGAACACTCACAGGTTGTTCTTTGCCTGCAGGAAGCTGTAACAAACAGCACTGGATCAACAACTAATCTTTATGAAGTTGAAAAACAACTAAAAGATGTAAGTTTCATGTACAACATTGCAAGTATAAATCATCTGTATTAAGATGCATAAGAATGTAAATTATTGCAGTATGCACTTTTGGGTAGTATGGGACTTCAGAGTGTATGTTTCCCTCTAAAATATAATACCTAAAATTATTTTGCAAGACAGTAACTTAAATTAAAAAAAAAGACTTGCAAAAAAAGACAATACTTCTGTTGTCCTTGAAAACTTGGAACATCAGAACAAAGTGGTTGCTGGCAAAACAGGAGCCCCAAGTAACCTGGTCTGACCTTGAAGCTGACACTGCGTGGGATAGCATGAGGTTGAATTAGAAACCTCCTGAGGTCCCTTCCAACTTGAATAATTCTCATAGAAAATCCATGTCCTTGGTCTTACGAACTTGAAGTTGCAATGATACAGTTTTAGTTTATTCCCTTTTTAAGATCTGTTGTATTTTTCTTTTATATTTGAGATTGAAAGGTTAATTCTTCATAATCTGGGCATCACTCATGAAAGCCTTTAAGTCACTTTCCCATTCCAAGAAATAAGCCAACCAGTGTTTAATGCTGCTGCAATTTTAACTTATGCTCAATAACCTGACTTATTCTTCCAAATGAAGATGAGTTTTACTTATCTTACAGTGAAGATTACTACAATTTGCAGCAGAATTAACTAGCTTATCTTTAAACTGTTTATTATATAAATTTTAATATTAAGACAACTAATACTTTTAAAATCTGATAAGTTACCAGAGACTTTTCTCTCTTTCTGTTCACGAAGGCTCTTGAGAAAAACCAACAGTGGCTACTATATGACAAGCAGCGTGGAGCAAATATCAAGGG